AGGCAATCAATTTCAGGGACTTTTCCTTGTGTGTCAGATATTTCTTCTTTTTTCTTTTTTGTCTGTCCAAAAAGTCACAAACAACGCAGTTTTTAACTTTGTCAGCATACAACCATGATGCTTATCCTCCAAGATTCTAAGTGTTGTCAATCTTGAAGTTTTTTTTTTGTAATGGAGAAGTCTAGGAATAGTGGACATGCAATGCTGGCTGAATTTCCAAACTAGATGTTACAGCTTTTTCTATTAGCTGAGGTAGATGGCAAAGGAATCACAATATTTAATGGCCAATTTCTTCCTTGGAAGTTGCTTAAAGTTCATTGGTGACCTCTCTGAAGTAGCAGTAAACCAGAAACAAAGCTAATTACCTCAAGCTGCTAACTTGGTCAGATGTTGGCCCTGATATTTAATGTGAAATATATTGTCTGTTTTAATGGTCTTTTTTTTTCTTTTATCAGGGTCAAATAATTTTTCTGGTGTATCATGGGGAAGTGGTATTCCAATTATTTTGAGGGAATATCTACATTTGTTGCCTCGGTTCCCATTTCCTCAGTCATTTCTGCTTTACTCATGATTTGTATTGACTCCCCCCCCCCACTCATATGTACTTTTCTTTTGGTTATTCATTATTTTTCTTTTCAATATTCCAAATAAAGAAAATAATCCTATATTTATGGTACAGTTATTAAAAGAAATATATACTTGGCTATGACAGTCTTTTTCTGTGCCATGAAATACCTTCCACAAATGTTGAAAATCATCAACATGAACAAGATCAACCGCAAAGAAAATTAAATCAATCACATCTTAACAAAATGGAGAAATTCAGGCAAGAAAAAGAATAATCGTGAGACAGTTTTAATTCAGTTTTATGGACTGAGTTGTTTTTGACCCTTCGACTATATTTTATTTTTTATACTAGAAAAGATTCAGCATGAGGACGTAGAGAACAATCACATTCATTATATTTTTTACCAATAAAAATTGTTTAGAGCATATCTCAGCTTGAAACCCACCCCCCAATTGCATTAGGGAGGTGGGGCATCAGTAGTCACTACCAATGGTTGCAGGGACTAGGCGATTTTTGTACCTGGCCTGAGTGTATGCGCCCGTGTTCCCCCCACATAAACCAGACCTTGTGTCACATCTCGTCTCAGTGGTCAAAATGACGAAGATCAAAATGTAGTATCTGTCCCAACAGCCAGCCCACTGCTCCAACCATCGCTATCTCCAGTAAGTCTCCAGCTCCTGCCACTCCACTACTAGTTTTAACAGGTTTCCCGCTTCAGTCATCCCAACCAGCAACAACGATAAGCAATAAAATTGTCCTTTTCAGGACAACGCTCTTCTCTTCAGCAATCACAAAAAAAACTGTCCTTTTCAGAACAATGCTAAAAACTTCGCCCTGTACATGAGCTTGCAGAATTTTTTTTTTTTTTGCCTAGTGAACTGTGACATTATTTTTGTTTATGTATTTTATTTTTCTTTAATAAAATTTTTATTAAAGAAAAATAAAAGTTTGTCCAAGTTTATTTTTATTATAAAAATAAACTTGGACAAACTTTTTTTTTTTAACATTCAAGTCTTCGTTTTTTGTTTGTTGTTGTCTTCCGTCATTTAATATCCGTTTGCGGGCCAATATACCACCCACAACAAATTTATGCCTTTCCCAAGGGCATTTGTGCAAAACAAAAGTGAACGTTGCCGATTCCACTTTCCCCATTTATAATACTTACGCCACCAACATATCCATCATTGTTCCTAACTACAAGAACACTGCATCTCTTATACACAGGTGTTGTAGTGTGAAAACTATAATTTTCACAAGCCAATTTTAACACCTGATTAAAACCTGTCTCACTTGCTTTCTTCTTTGAAAGTTTGAAACTTATTTCTAAAATCAATCTTTCAAGATTATGATTATTTTAAAAAAATTTAATTTTGGGTGCAATTTCCAATTATTTTGTAACTTTGTTGTTAAACTCGTTCTTCTTACTTTAAATTCAGAGGATTTTTATTATTGAAGACCCCTTTTTTAACACAATTCAAGTCTGTTATGGAATTTTTTGAGATTTGTGAGAGTAAATTACAATTTTCTACTCTACTCAAGAAAATGAAGACACAACATTACGTGAGTAGCAAAGATTTTATTAATAAATTAAATAATATATAAAAAAAAGGGAAAAATCAAAGTACTGTAAATCTGTAATATAAATAAAGCTTTAGTTTAAATTAATAATAATGTTTCTCTTTCTGACTTTCCGGTGACAAAAGACTGGTTTTCAGCAGCATAAGACAGTACGAAAGAGAAAAAAAATATTCTCAACTCAATCATTAGAAAGTGAATTAAAGTGGAACAACAAATACAAAAAGAAATTCTTAAAAAAAAATAAAGTCGACATTTTAAAAAAAGACAAGCATTGATTGTAACAATTTTCATTAACTATGAAATTGAAATACCTATTCTTTGACTACAAGAAAAAAAGTCAAGAGGCTGAAAGACTTGTTTGCTATCCCACTTAAAAAGAAAAATACTCCCACGCAAATATTCATTCAACATAAAACATTAAATTATCAGCTTTCAAGAAAAACGAGTTGCCATTTTTTAAATTAAAAAAAATAAATAAATATTATAAAACTAAATTGAAATCTCTGTATTTACAGTGCTACGCGAGTATATACAAGTTTATTAAGGAACAAGCTAATAATTTCAAAAACAGAAAAAAAAAAGTGAGACGTAAAACTATAAAAGTCGATATTTTTAAATGTTTTTCTTTAGAGTCTCATACTTGATTAGAATACATTTTTGTTTATAAATTATTTTCTTTTGGGTAAGTTTTTCTGCAGATAAGAGGAATCTAAAAGCGAAAATTCGTTCATCTTTGTTGGTGGATCCTTCTACCTCACATGATTTATTGTTGATACAAAAATGCAATCGAATGCTACTTCAAGAGATTGGTTCAGCAATAGAGAATGAGGAGGAATAAATTCTGTGACGTTTACGGTTTACCGTACATGAAAAAAAAAAAAAAGAAGATTTTAGAACACTAACAGCGCAATAGATCCTATCCTTCCTGAGAGTCAGTTTTTAAGACAAATTCCAAATTAATTATTAAAAATCAATTCAAATTAAACATTTTTTTTAACGAACCATAGCCAATCGCACAAATTGATAAAAATATTTTAGAACAATTTCAGATTTGGTCCATTGTAAAAAAAAAAAGTAAAATAAAAGATTTTTTTTTTTTTAACCTTTTCTTTACTTTTTTAGGCGTATTATTTCCTAAAATGTTAACATTAACATGAAAAATGTGTCTTTTTAAAATAAATCTTAAATAATCTAAAAATGAGAGATACATGTTGATTGTTGATGAATGAAATATACAAAAAAATTATTTGTACCAGGTCTCGCCTAATAGTTTTAAATCTAAAAAGCTGTTTTTTCGCTGAAATTAAAAGATTGGCGAACATAATTTTGTGATGTAACTAAAATTCTTAAACCACGCTGAAGGCATCATGAAAGAAAGCAATTACTCAAGCTTTTAAAAAATAAAATTGTTTCACGGTCTGGTTCTAGTGTCCATTTCATTTTCTAACAAAACTCACAGAAAAGACTACTAAAACCATTCATAATGCGATTCCCAACATGAGAGAAAACGCTTAATCATGTTCTTAGGTTGAGTTGTAGAGTTTAATTAATCAATCGATAGGTTTTAACAGCAAATAATAAGGGAGAAATCTAGAAGATTAAAAAGGTTGGGAAAATAATTAGGGATAATTAAAAAAAAAAAAAAGAAGCAAAACATATGCCACACTACTATATTAAAAATTTAAAATTGCTTAGTCTTAAATGATAATCTTCTTTCATTTGATCACCACCCTCAAAAACACGTAGTAGAATTTTCAAATTAAAACGAGCATGATTTGTAGTTTTTTGTTTTGTTTTGTTTTTTAACACATGAATAAAGAAAACAAAATAACAAGACAAAGTGGAACTGGTATGATCTACAAAATATTTAGTAAATCGCTAAGAGAAAAATATTGGGAGGTTATTAAAAATAATAAATATTATTAAAGGCAAGAAATGGACAGCTTTTTAATTCATCTGTTGAACGTCAAAATTGACCTTCCTTCACAAAATTAGAAGGTCATCAAAAATCAAAGTCTATAAAGAAAATTAGACATTTTAGAAAAGTGAATACCAAACCGTTATTTCTTTTGTTTTTTCACACAGCTAAATCAAAACTTCCAAGCATTTTTTTTATTATTAAAAAAGGAAGCAACATGCAACAATCCACAAACTAACTACAACACAGGCATATCATCAAAAATGAGTCATTCACTTTTTTTTTTTTTTAGAGAATACATGAGCAACAACCATAAGATGTACTGCAACAAGGACTTGAAAACTGAATAATGGTACAACTACATAACTTAAAAAGGGGGGTTTACTACTACAGTATTTAACAGAAAGAGAAAGGAAGAAAACAGATTTATTATTGGCAATCAGAAGAGTTCACAAATAGATCGATTTCGGATCTGATTTTCTGCATAATTCCTAGTTACTACCTACACACAAAACTCTTCACGCAACCAACCAAGGATTTTAGCGTTTTTAGAACATCCAAAAATAAAAAAAACACCAAGATAATGAGAATTTTCAAAAATATCACTTCCAATAAAAACAATTTCTTTTTTTAAGGAAATCAGTGTTTCTTGTGGTGAGTGAGGTAATAACATTCCATTCGGGCATAATTTAAAGATCTTATTACCCACCAACAAAATGTGATACTAAAAGTTAATATTATAAAAAAAAAAAAAATGAAACGTACGAACAGGTTTGCCCATCTGAAAAATACAGAGCGTCATTAAAAAAAAAAAAAATGTAGGAGCTTATTATTCTATTTTTGAAATATTCCAGAGGCAAATGATACTATCTAGAACAAATAACAAATGATGCTAATGGTGTCGCAATAAACACGTTGTAAAATAGTCGAACTTACCTGCAAATGTGCACGAAATTAGTAAACAAACGAGTAACACCAGATGAATAAAGGAGCAGTACAGCAGTCGACCACTGTTGACGAGGAAATTCTAATGATATCCCATAATAGAGAAACAATGGAGAAGAGCCAATCAAAACATACGCAAGGGAAATAACTCCTAATTTAAGGCCTTATGTCACGTACAATATTTATTTTCTAATTTTTTTGTCGTCATTCGTTATGATTCCATCAATCAAATGTATTTATTTTTTAAAATCCCAATAAGAATATATACAAAAGAAAGATAATAATCTGTCCTGAGTGTTAGTTTAAATATTGAATCATCTCTTAAAGAATAAAATTAATTCAAATTAGGGAAAATGGCTCTCGTCGATCGTGTTCATCCAGTAGTAGTACACACTTCTTGTGAAAAAAAACCCGAAGTAACCAGTTTTAAAAATATATTACTTTCAAAAAATATATAATTCTTTAAAAATCAATATGTTTACATGATGAATCAGTCTTCAATTTTACTAATTGCTTAAAGAAAATTTAAAACTAAAAAAAGTTAAATGACCTCATCACCATGGCATTGATAGGCATGAAAAAAAAAAAAATCTTAAGTCGTAGAAGCTATTTTTATACGCTTCAATAATTGCGGCTTTTATAGGTTGCCTAAAATGACTCCTTGGCTTGCTTTGAGATTCAAAAAAAAAATTATCACATTTCTTCGTATTTTTTGGCTCCTAAAGTATTTACGTGGACATCAGTTGGAACTGGTCCAACAAAATTACTTAGCCCATGTGCGAATTTTACAAATACTTTAAATAATTTTACATTTTAATAAAGAGTCATTGGTTATTAATAATATTACTTAGTTATTAATTTTGGAAGTATTTTGATTTTTGATAAAAAGTAAACCTCTTTAAGAAAATTAATATTTAAAGTGAAATTTAGTATTCTTTAAGAGAAAATATCTGATGCTAAGCTAACAATAGCATTCCATTAAGAATATTGACTTTTTGAATTTAAATTTGTAAAACACTTTTTTAAAATACTTTTTTTTATTAGTAGTAAATGTATTTATAATGTGGTTGGTAGAAATCTTGAAACAACTGATTTATATATAAAAATAAAATATCTAAAGCTATGTAGTACTTTTATAATCACAAAACAGTTTTTTCTGTATATTTGAAAACAATTAATTGTTCATAAATCTAGCACTAAACAGGATTTTACTATTCTATTCAGTTACTCTATTAAAATTAAATGAATTTTTCATTCTTGAATAAACCTTTTTGAAAACAGAAATTGAAGAGGGATACTTATTTTTATGAAGCCAGAAATAACAATTAGTGTACAAAAATAAGTATTAGTTATTTGCAAAAATAAACACATCTATTTTTTGAAAACTAGATGCTGGATATGCAGTAGAAAACTAGTTTTCTAAAAATAATAAATAAATACTGGAAACCTTTGCAAACAACTGATAGATTACTTCACTTGTATACAAGATAGAATTAAAATTTGCCATGAGACAATATTGAATCAGGAAATATTTACTTCAATTCTTCCATTAAATCAACATCTTATGGTGAAACAAAAAATGATCATAGGATAAATGTAAGAAAAAATATGGATATTTACTGCATAAAAATAAAAAAGGCATTTGAATTTTTTGTTTCTTATGAAATGCTAGTTTCAAAAATGTCTTGGGTACTTTTTAGATATTTTAATGATCAACCAGTATATCACTGTAAAATATTTATTAAAAAAATGTGAGAATATTGAAGAAAGATCTGATCAACTATTTTAGGTCAACAAATTCATCAACTGAATAGACATACAAATTGAGTATAGAATAAAAGTTATTTACTAAATTTAGCTAGAATTATAAAAGTGAGTATTATTGCTTGAACTAAGCAAGGCCTATGTTGCCTCATCACAGATTTATATGTCACTGAGCACAAAAATAATATTAGTCATGCTAATTATTGAGTGATAATCAGCAGAGAAATGAACAACACTTTTTTTTATTTTTGCATTAAATTTGAAACAAAAGTACTGCAATACCTTCTGCCATAAAAAAGAAAGAAAGCAAAACTCTTGAAGAAGCCAACAAAATGCCTGATAGACAGCCTTCATTTACTGGTATGCAGTATCTAATGACATAAATAATCAATTAAAATTTGATAGAGATGATGATATTTGTTAGGCTTAGTTTTTTATGACAAAAGGTCTAATAAAGAAGTTCTCAACAAGGAGAGAATCCCCTCCAGAGGAAATTTCAGGAGGGAGGGAATCTTTTACAAGTTTCTTATTCACTGTAATCTTCATTAGAATAAAATTGATTTAAATACCTTGGCATGTTATTGAACTTTTTGTTTATTGAAGTATGCTTCAGTTTATTTATTTAATAATTAGTTATGAATTTAAAAATATTACTGTACATTTATACAAGTTTAAAAATCCTTCAACATTTTCTATTCCTATTAGATTTTTAAAATCCCTCAATAAAAATCATCCATGTCAATGTATATGTATTAATATGGGAAAGAAGGAAGATTTTCAATAATATATGCATATTATTTGGAATGCATCTTTTGAGTCAGAAGTTCATGGAAACGGTAGGGAATGACATTCTAACATATGGTGAAAAGGGTGCATTAGGCAAAAAAGGTTGAGAACCACTGGACCAAGGTAATTGAGTTGTACCAAACTTCTGAAAGAAAAGTACTTTCATACCTTGAAAAGCAGCATTCAAAATTGTAACTTTTAACATCACTCAAACATTGGTATCAGCACTGGAAGAATTGTTTGTTCATTGTACCACTCCAGAAAATACTTAACTCCTGTTGCCATTCTCTCTCTTGACAAGAGTCAGATCAGACTAAGAATGTTGTATTGCTGTTATGGGATGATGCTGCGCAATCCTCACTATCTAGCCTTGACAGAGTTCAAAAGTACTTATGCAGGCTTGTGGGTGATAAATTATTCTCCACCCTGTAACCCTTATCTCACAAACAAAATGTTGCTAGCCTCTCAATATTACTATTATATAAAAATTTACCTCCCTACTAAACCTTAAATTCTTGTGCCAAACACAAAAGCCTAGCAGGTAGGAATAGAATTGGAAAAGAGAACTTATGCTTCCTTTACCCATAAAGTTAAAATAGGTGCAAATAACAAGATTCAAGTGCTGAATAAAATCTAAAGAAAAAGCATTTATTAGAATATAGACAAAAAAATACAAAATTTACACAAAAATTTCTTTTTGTGCACCTATTAACGCAGGATAACAATTTCTGATATGCTGCAAAAAGGGATTACTATCAAAAAAAAGAATTACAATCTCTGACAAAAAGAGAAAGCGCATCACACCAGCAAGGCAGAAAAACAAAGGTGTAAACACCTTTTTAGAAAAAATGGAAAAACCCTACTTTTACTTATCCTACAAGCATCTCAGGGACCTATACCAATTTTTGAAATGTTGTTTTTTTTATATTCACACTGTACTTCACCAACGCTTTTGGAAAATTTTCTTGAATTTTTTTTGTTGTTTGTTGTCCAGCCACATGAGAAATTTCACTTGTGAACTTCAAAATTCCCTAGGATCTCTGCAGCTAGCTTGTAACCTACTGCCTTCTTGTCTAGATGCTTGATGTCTAGATACTTTCTGCTTAATGTCAAAATGCCATCTGGAGTTATCTGCTAGCCAAAGTTCTTTTTATTCAAGAAAAGAGGATCACAGAATATATATATATATGTGTGTGTGTGTGTGTTTTATTTAGATCCCTCAAGGTTTCTTCTATGTATTTTTGTGACAATTATTACAGGTGATGTAGTAAATTCCTCCTTCAAGTTATAGTTTATTATTTTGTTTAGTATTGACTAAGTCATTTATTGTTTTGAATGTAGAAACAATAAAAGTAATAATTGTCACAAAAAAATACATAGGAGAAACAAGGAATCTAAATAAAAGATTATATGAACACAAAAGGGACATTTTACAAAACAATATGTCAAATTCATTGGTTATTCACTGTAATGAGACTGAACACACACACACACACACACACACACACACATATATATATATATATATATATATATATATATATATATATATATTATCATGATCAAAATTTAAAACTTTTCTGTAAAACTTCTGCATTAAATAAATTTTGTTATATTTTCCAAATCTTATTTATTCTTCATGTTTTACTTTCCTGCAAATTTGTAGACGTTTAAGCAATGCCACATAAAAACTCAAACTTCTACAGTTTCATTATTTCTTTTTAGGGAATCCAAAAAGAAAATTAAATGTTTTCATTTCATGTTTTTAATATATACTGTCACATTTCCTTTATTAATTCTTAATTAATCTTCCTTTATTTTATTGCTTTTTATAACAACTTTTGAGCAGAATACTCTTCATTTGTTTAAATAAGTAGTGAGAGTTAGAAATAAAGAAATAGTTTCCAATGAAACTTAAATATTATTGGAGGTATCATCTCTTTGTTTGCAAGGTGTATGGATGAATTATAGTAAATATTTATGGACTCCTGGAACATTTGTCCCACAAAAAATATTGGCAGACTCATGTGAGTTCAGGCAAAAAATAGTAACACAAAGCAATGAATTTAAAACAAACGACAATTATATGCATGTTTTAACATAAGTAATTGCATGTGTACACAATTGAAATGAAAGGAAAAGACATTCAAACTAGCTATATGGATGTGCTTGTTTTATGTGAGTGAAACAAGCATGCGTGATACATATGTGCATGTGTGTGAGAGTTCAGTTAACAGAGGATCAAGGAATCAAACATAACCCAGTGGCACCATTCTTTATCTATGTTTGACTACATCTGAAAGTAAGAGGAAAAAGAGAAAGAATATGCTTGCCTTTTTATAGACTTAAAGGGTTCATTTTCGGCAAAGCCTAGTGGGTTAACCCACAATATTCTGGAAGGTCATCTTCCAGGGATGATGCCTTAACTAATTTGGCTTTTGAAACTGATCACTAACCAAGGCACAATTTTTCATTGGTTTTATTACTTAGTAATAGCATTAAATTATTTGCATTCTGAGATGATGTTTAATGCCCTCCAACTGTTAAAATAAGAAGTGCAAAATATAATTAAAGAAGTAGACTTGAACTTCATATCCCATGCAATCATCTTTCAATAAAGAGAAGATTATTTCAGAATTAATAATGAAAGCATTTAATCTCAGAATTCAAATAATTTGCTACATTTTCTGTCTCTTTCTTTCTTTCTTTTACACCATTTGCTCTTCTTTACCCATTCTTTCTTTGCTGTTTCCTTTCTTTCTTTCTTTCTTTCATGTCATTCTCTTTTCTTTGCCTATTCCTTCTCTACTATTATTTTCTTTCTTTCTTTCTTTCTTTCTTTCTTTCTTTCTTTTACAACATTCACTCTTCATTGTTCATTTATTCTCTGTTGTTTTCTTTCTTTCTATTCCAACTGCCACTGTTCTTTTTATATCACATGCCTTCAACAATGCTTCCTCTCTCACTCTACTTTCTCTCTTGTGATTGCTAAAAAAACTACTGCTACTACAATTGACTTTCAATGAATTGCATTACAGCTACTAATGGCTCAATTTTCTATTATTTCAGTTTTATGAAGATATTATGTCTTACAAGAATCCCTTCACGTCATATCTTGTCAATTGTATTTAACCTCATCTCATCTATTTTGTTTATTTTGATTTTCTTCTGACCAAATTGAAACTCACAATTTACTTCCAATTATACCTTCTGCAACTTTGCATCAAGTAGAAGCTTAAGCTAATAACAGAACTAATAAATAGCATTAAATTTTACAATTCCCTGGAAAGGACAATTTGATATAAAATCATTCCATTCATATTCATTCTTGATATATGTTATTAGAGTTGTAAGAAGAGAAACTGTTATGTTATTGGAGTTAACATATCTGAATAATTTACCTTACAGATTGGTAGTGTATATATCAAGTGAGTTAATTTTTTGCACTGTAAATTGAATTTAGTGCCTTTCACTATTCATATAAGCTGTCATACATCCAATTTCATCTAGAGACATCAGCATACTACATGAAAATATCAGTTTTTGACCAATGAGAATACATTCAGTTTCCTAATTTTCAGAGACTAACTGATCACATAAAAACAAAGCACATGCCAATAAAACTAGTAAAGAAGAGGTGGACATATCGTAACCTGTCGGCAATCCCACATTTTTTAAAAACAATTGGAAGAAAAAATTAAACCAGCATTATTGTAAGAGTGATTCAGAGCATAGAAAGGCCTCAAAGTAACAAAAAAAAAACAAATGACATGGGTGTTTTTAGTAGGAGACACTCACCTCCCCTTTGAGTATGTGATGTATGTTGGATGAATGGAAATGAATGAATTCTTGTGGTGTAAATTGTAATAAATGAATGGGTCACCAATCAACTTAGGTAGGTTTAGGATAGTCAGTGATGACCAACCTCACCCCACTTCCCCTTCGGCCTTGTGCCACAATTGTATTTTTATACAGTAAATAATGACTAGGATCAAAGTATAGCATCTGTTCCAGTAGCTGATCCATGCCTCCAGCCACCAACAGCAGTTCCAGCTAGCCAGCCATCATCATATCCAGCTCAAAATCCTTGCCAGCAGCAACAATATGCAGTAAACTGTCCTTCTCAAGACAATTCTGTTTAGTGACTAAAAAACTTTCCTTCTCAGGACAACACTCTTCAGTGACTACAAAACTGTCCTTCTCAGGACAACACTCTTTAGCGACTAAAAAACTTTCCTTCTCAGGACAACACTCTTCAGTGACTACAAAACTGTCCTTCTCAGGACAACACTCTTTAGCAACTAAAAAACTTTCCTTCTCAGGACAACACTCTTCAGTGACTACAAAACTGTCCTTCTCAGGACAACACTCTTTAGGACAACTAAAAAAACTTTCCTTCTCAGGACAACACTCTTCAGTGACTACAAAACTGTCCTTCTCAGGACAACACTCTTTAGCGACTAAAAAACTTTCCTTCTCAGGACAACACTCTTCAGTGACTACAAAACTGTCCTTCTCAGGACAACACTCTTTAGCGACTAAAAAACTTTCCTTCACAGGTCAACACT